ATACCAATCTATAAAGTCCTCTTCAGACTCAAGAAACACATGCAATGATGCTGAATGCAGGAAGATCACAGGCCAGTGGGTGGAAGTCTTGTGGTGTAAGCATCAGCACTGTCAGGGGTCTCCACGTGTCTCCTCCAGCTCAGGGCACTAGTGTAGTTCCATGTGTCTTGTCAGCAGCTTTGTCTCCCAGGGAGGGAGCAGAGAGTGTCTCCCGCCTTCAAGGAGGAAGACAGGAGTTCCCAGAATCCTCAGGAGAAGGTCACGCCCACACAGGCCTCATTGGCTATGACCCGGTTGACTAGACTCCACCCCTTCACTCTTACTCCTCTCAAGTCCCAAATGGACACCAGCTGACGTTACGACCACACCCACCACACCCACCGGGGCGGGCATTGTTTTGAGTCGGCATTACCTCGACGGGGAGAGTCTGGTTTTGGTTTATAGACAAGTGTGATGGTTTTCTGGGAGGCGAGGAAGACTGGATGTGAGTGAATTGTTAGGAACTGGCCTTGCAATTGTGGCCCTTCCCTGAGCACAAGGTGGCAGAGGAGGCCGAGGGGTCAAGCCCAAAGAGGTACGCTAAGCCCTGGCACACTGTCAAGAGTTTATCCGTACCTGTTTGACTTTCCAGGATTTGTCCAACTGAGGTCATCACCTTCCCTTGGTGACTCCCAGAGCTGGCACCCCGTGTCACCATCCCCGCGGTGGTAGTTACGCAATCTGGTGTCCATTTGAGAATTCAGAATGAAGAGGTGGAGTCTAGGTTTCAATCAGGTCACAGCCAATGACGCCTCTGTGTGGGCATGGCCTCCTGAGGATTCTGGGAACTCCTTTCTTCCTCTCTCGAGGCAGGAGACACTTCCTGGGAGACATCCCTGAGGAGAAACCACATGGACCTACCCTGATGCAGCCAGAGCCCTGGAGCTGGAGGATCCACGTGGAGACCCATGCCAGCACTGAGATGCTTCCACCACCACTGGATCCACAAGACTTCCCACCCACCGGCCTGTGATCTTCCTGCATCCGGCATCATTGCATGTGCTGCGTGAGTCTGAAGAGGAATTTATAGACTGTTATCAGACATATGGGCTAATATTGGAATTATGGGCTTGATCTGGACTGGGCTGGGCTGTTTTCGCAACGTACAATGATTGTTTGATGTAAACATTTCTCTTACACACATACGAGTGTCCATGAATTGTTTTCTCTGATCCTCCCGGACTCACACACCCACTCTTTGTGCTGTGTGTTGAGGGGGACAGACTCCTGACCAGAACCATCTTTGTCCCATGAGTCTCAACCACTGACTTGATTTTCCTCCTAAATGACATTATCCATGTGTTAGGACCCCTACTGATCCCCGCTCCCTGCACGACAGAGGGCAACCCTGCAGGGCCCGTGTCACCCTGGCACCTGCCACCATGTTTGAGTGCACTGTCCCCCGCACTGTGTCCATCCAGCTCATCCGGGACCTCCCTCATTTTTGCTGCGCCTCCACTTCACCAAACCTGGTCTCCAGGGACTAGTCTCTGCACACAGGAGGTCCAAAGAATGTAAAACAGGTCCTACTCGCCTCTCAGGAGCACTCTGGCCTTACTTCTTCCAGTACAGACCGGCTTGTCCTTCTAGCGGTCCGTGCTACGTTCAACGTTCTTCTCCGCATGAGTCAATGGTGCTCTCCTAGGGAGGTGGACACAGCAAGTCAAA